TATCCTTGTTCATCCCCTGTCTCTTCAAATATCCTTGCATCAAAAGCCATATGTCTTGCTGACCTGCAATGGAACATCCAAATTGTGTCCTAAATATTCTTGTACGGTTCATGTTCGTGTAAACTTCTGGGTATCTCATACCTTTGGTCATGTACAGCCATAACTGCTTCACCTGCATTCATCATCATTATGACCTGCTTGTCACGTCCAGGTGCACTTCCACTTCTATCGTTACCCACTCCTCTGCAGGATCCTCCACGCGGAGTAACATGTCTTTTGTCTCATTATAACCTTATGTTGCATGAGCAAATCTCTGAGCGGCCTAACTTTTAATTAGCCACTACACTCATTTCATAAATGTCTCTTTTTCCCACATTTACAATAATGCACGTCACTATTTATACTGTCTCTCACTTTCCTGACACCCTCAATGTGTTTCGTTACTTTGTCGTCTCCTCTCTTGCCCTTTCCGCTCTCCTCCTGTTTTAAAGCGTATACTGTGTCTCGCAATGTTGTTCTTCTCTGGCCTTCTAATAACCATACATTCTGTTACTACTCTGACATAACGTCCTGCATGACCTACATTTCAATTTCATACCCCCATAAATACAGCATAAATACAGAAAATACGTATGCTGGAAAATATGATATAAAGCATTCTAAGAGTATCTTCAATATTTTCAATCGAACACGAATAATTAATAACGCCAAAAAATTTATTCAAGCAATTCTCAATATCGTTAAAATTAAATGCCGATGAATTTAAATTTGAACATATTCGAATTGGACAAGCTATATCTTGTGTAATATTTCTAATTAGCACAAAAATTACCCAAAAGCTTATTAAATATCGAAGTGAAATTAATGGCACTAAATGAATAAAGAATTTATTTATGTATTTTCTACAAGACATATTTTTAGTGCTTGTCATAAAGTTAATGACAATTATAAATTAAAAATTAACTGTCTAGTTGAAGTAGTAATATGAGGAATTCTATGAAAATGTGACACTGGGGTATATAAATCCTTTGAAATCGTAAATTATTGTAAATTCTGCAAATGTGATTTATAAAAATTGAAATCAAATTAAATTAGATCGACTAGAAATTAATCAATACAGCCTAGGGTAAATAAGAATTGATTCAAATATAAATAATCGCTTAGGAATGTAGTGTTGATGAGTCACTGGACCAAGTATTCCACATATATTTACCAAATTTATTCTCACGTTTTTTTATTGTTACCTCTTCATTGAAAGGTAGATTATCTAATATATCGTTTTATTTAATTAGTAAATATATTGTATCTATTTCAATACATAGAAGAACTTATTAATGACAAATTGTTGTCATTTGTGGCATTAAATTTTCCTCAAAAGCGCTTATTAATAGACTGCATTTGATGTGAGAAATCCATTCTTCCGATTAAGTCATGTTGCGTCCCGAGCACTTCAACTAGCTCGTGAAATTTCATGGTGTCGTAAGGCCCGTTACGCTGCTGCGGCGATGCTGCTTGGGATGCGGCCTACTCTAACTTGGTAGAGGAAGACCTGGTTGGTGTTGAACTGCAGAGAGTTCTACTGTAGATTGCAGTCTCCTGGCAGAGCGGTTGGCTGATCTCGAACGAAGATGCTGGTGTCGTCGTGTTGGAGTTTATCGAGATAATTCCTTGTGAATGCCTTGTCAGTAATGTTATAGGGATCGACTGTCTTCTGATTGTTTGGTATGTTATTGGGGGTGTACGCCAACATCAGTGACCTCCTATTGTGGATGCTGTGTAAGGAACTTAGGTTCTGACGCCTATAGCTTAAGGGAATAATTTATCGGTCATTGTCACGGTACATCCCAGCGGCGGGTTAGATGACGGTGAGCATGTGCAAGTCAATGGATGCTTTCAATAGAGGCATAAAACAGGTCTCCACTTGAATTGGGACATTGCGGTCCTATGGCCGCAACGTACATCCCGCTTTGAACTGTTTATGATTCAATGAAATTTAGATATGAAATTAGAGGTGTCGATATGTGAATGCAGTTACAATGATGACTGATGTGTAGAATGACAGTGTGTAGTATCCCTATCGTACAAGGTCGCGTCTAAAAATAAAGTGATCTAAGTGAGTCTTATTTGTATATTATAACAGACATCCTAGCCAAAGTGTCTGATGTATCGATAAGCAACGGAGCAAATTTTTAACGCTGCGCTTATATTCTCCTTGGGCTGTCTTTAAGCTAACTATGCGGATCGTACCATCGGATCCTGAGTGTGTGGCCGTTATTCTTCCGAGCGGCCACGTCATATTACAATGATGACTGATGTGTAGAATGACAGTGTGTAGTATCCCTATCGTACAAGGTCGCGTCTAAAAATAAAGTGATATAAGTGAGTCTTATTTGTATATTATAACAGACATCCTAGCCAAAGGGTCTGATGTATCGATAAGCAACGGAGCCAATTTTTAACGCTGCGCTTATATTCTCCTTGGGCCGTCTTTAAGCTAACTATGCGGATCGTACCATCGGATCCTGAGTGTGTGGCCGTTATTCTTCAGAGCGGCCACGTCATACGTGGCGTGTTGTCTTCCTTGATCAGGATCATGGTTCCGATGTCGAGTTCTCTCCCTTGACATTATACCATTTTCTGCGGGTCGTCTGTTCTTGCAAATACTCCTTGAACCAACGTTTCCAAACATGGTACTGCATGCTATGAACGTGTCGCCACGATGAAAGCCATCCGTCCGGGTTTGTCGTAAAGTCGATGTCTGGGAGCTTTGTCAGTCTATCGCCAATAAGGATACGACCTGGTGTTAGAGCGGTCAGGCCGTTGGGATCCGAGGATAAGAGTGTTATGGGTTGGCAACTTAGAATAGCTTCTATTTCGTTCATGTCGGTCAGCAAGGCCTCGTATGACAGCAGTCTTTCTCCAATCACACGTGAGTGATGATGTCTTGATGATCGGAATGCGGCTTCCAGCAGTCCGCCAAAGTCCGGGGCGGAATGAAGTGCAACGTGACACCTTCATTCGCAAGTGCCGATGCTATGATGGTGCGATAACTCTGTGATCTGACAAACCTATTTAGTTCCCTTATCAATATATTGGCACCGGTAAAATTGGTGGCATTGTCGGAGTAGGTGTCGGAGCATAGGCCTCTCCTCGCCACGAGTCGCCGTAGAGATGCTAGGACGGCCTCAGTAGCCAGGTCGCCCAAGATTTCCATGTGGATGGCCCGTATCGCAAAGCTCACAAGTATGGCTAAGTAGACCTTAACCATATTACGACTTCGGTGGAATTTCATTCCACGTTCATGTGGATCGCATCACAATAATCTATACCAGAATGCAGAAAGGGTCTTGACGGTATGATTCTTGAGGGGGACAGATTGCTCATTTTATAATTGATGGTGGATGGCTTGGCCGGCATGCACCTTACACACAGGTGAATAGTTTTTCGATTAAGGTTTCTTCCGCCAGGTATCAAAAATCTTTGTCGCACGCGGTTGAAAGTGGTTTGTACGCCTGCGCGCAAACTTTTGATCTGGTGCCCGCGTATAACAAATTGAGTGACATGCTCGTTCCGCGGCAAAATCATCGGATGCTTCATATCGGGTTTTAAACTTCCCTTCGTTAGTCTGCCGCCCACTCGTAGTATTCCTTCCTTGTCTGTGAATGGGTCTAGCAGCGTCAGTGTGGTGGTCGGTTTCCCGGCCGACACGGCGAGTAATTCGTTCCGGTAGGCCCGCTGTGGGATGCATTTTATGATGACTTGTTCCGCCTTGCGTAATTCCGCATACGTCATTGTCTTGCTCGGGGATTTCTTACGGGAGCTGATGAATCGGGAGCGTAACAAATATGCTGTAATTCGTTTGAGTTTGGTGAACGACGAGAATTTCTCGAGGAGGTCAAAGCCGTTGGTAGCAGCGTTCAGTGCTACGACGAGTGGCCGTTGCTCCGGGATACCTCTTGCCGGATCTAGTTGATTTCGGGGTGAGTCTGCCTCCGCTTCCTCCAGCCATTCCGAACCGTGGAATCAAAGTTTGCTGCTAGTCTGGTTCTCTGCCTTGCAACCGCGTGATATCAAATCTGCCGGGTTATCCCCATATCGTATGTGGCGCCATTCGTGATCCTCAATCAAGCCTTGAATGTCCGCGATTCGATGCGATACGAAAGTTTTTAGCTGATGCGGGGAAGTGCGTATCCAATATTTTACTATTGTGGAATCCGACTAAAATAAGTTTTTTTGGAAAGACACACTCCGTAGTGCACTTGAAACGGTTTGGTGTGTCTTCGACAGTAAATGAGCTGCACACAACGCTAATCGAGGCAACGTGATCGTTTTTACGGGAGCTACCCTTGACTATGACGCCACTAAGTGTACCGATGTGGTGCACCGCGTGCTGATCCCGCGAATGTACATGCATGCCCCGTATGATTGCTCGCTCGCGTCGCAGGACCCGTGCAATAGCAATGCGGTGTACTCCCTTGTATCTGTCGTCTCATCCTCAAGTCTTCCAAAACTAGTAACTCGCGACAGTATGTGGTCCATTGGGTAAGAATGTCCATCGGTACTGATTCCTCCCAGTCTTATTGTAATTTCCACAGTGTTTGTAACATTATTTCAGCGCGTACTGTTATCGGTCCTAGAATTCCGAAGGGGGCAAAGAGTGTTGCAATTTTCGATAATATGGACCGTTTCGTTATAAGGTTGCCCTGTCTCAGTCCCTTAAAGTCAAATCTAAGCGTATCGCGCTTCGCGTCCTGGGAGAGTCCCAACGTATTTATGGTGTTGTCCAGGTCAAGTCGTAGCAGTCGGTCATTTGCATTGTCCTCCAAGGTTTCCACAAGTAGCTCGTCGTTTCACGTCCATTGACGTAGGTTGAAGCTTGCTCGGTTGCATGCCTTGATTATCTGACCTTGTAGGACTGTTGCCTCGCTATAGAAGCTGGAACACGTTAGTAAGTTATCCACATAGAGGTCTTCGCGGATCGCGGTCGCTGCTTGCGGGTATCATTCTCCCTCGTCAGCTGCGAGCTGGTGCAGCCCTTCAGTGTCTAGGAAGGGGGCGGCTGACCTGCCGCAGGTGGCGGTGTTAAGAGTACATGCTGCTATCGGCTCGCGGACATTCAGGCACCAGAGAATGTTTTGATACTCGCGGGCGTCAGGATGTCCCCATACTGGAAGGTACATTTTCTCTATATCGGCGGCCATTACGCAGGTGTGTGACCCAAAGCACAATACGATGGAGAGTAGGTCTTCCTGGACGTTTGGTCCCACCAACTGTGCGTCGAATAAAGAGCACCCGCTGGTGGTCCAGGCCGGTGCGTCGAAGACCACCCGGAATTTGGTAGTTAGGCGCGATTGCATTATTACAGCATGGTGCGGTAAGTAATATCTGTGCTTGATCGATGAATCCGTCACTAGCGACGTGTGGCCCAACACCAAATATTCGTTTAGAATGTTTTCGTGTCTGTGTCGGAGTTCCGGATTCTGACTCAATTTCTGTTCCAATGCATAGAATCGCTTTCGTGCCACTGAATAACATTCGCCGAGATCCTTCACATTGTTCTTGAATTTCAGCCGAACTGTATACCTGCGTGACACGTGGTCGCGGTTTGTTTGCGCCTTAAAATGCGCCTCATGTTCTCTGTCTTCTACTGATATTAAAGGGGATCGCGGAGTTCCTTTGACCTCCAAAAATTGCGTGAGCTGACGTTGTAACGCGTAGCGAGCTATATGACAGCGAGTGAATTGTTGACTATTTACATGTGGGAGTTTGCCTGCCATGATCCAGCCAAGTTTGGTTTTCTGTAGCGTGATTGCGTTGCCCGGAGTGGGAATCTGCCCGACGCAGAATAACTTTAAGGACACCTCGGCGCCTAGTAATGCGTCCACCTCGGACGGCAAGTTGAAGTTGGTGTTGGCTAGAGGGAGATTTTGATGTCGGTCCTATATAGCACTCGCGGTAGTAGCATTTCTGTGATTTGTGGCACGATCAAGATGGTCGCGTCGACTGTGAACGGGCTTGTAAGCGATTGAATTTGCGTTTCCACGGCTTTCCTTACGAAAGTGGTTGTTTGTGTAATTCCAGTTACTGGTACTTCTACGCGGTGATGGGGAATGCCTTGCCTATTCGAAAACCGTTCGGTAATAAGGTGGGACTGTGGCCCGGAATCGAAGAGTAACCGGCACGGTAGCTGTTTGTTTCGATTTTCCGGAAGGTAGACGACCACGATGGATAGCACAACCTCTGCGCCCCTGGGTTGCCTTGAGAGCCGAAACGTTCACTTGATGCGCTTGTTGCGTCTCGCCCGTCTGCTCCTCATGCAATAATGTATGGAGGCGTCCGTTGCAACGTCTACATTTGCTTGCCAAGCATTTTTGCACTCCGTGACCGACGCGTAAACAGTTCGTGCATAACCTTGCTCCCCTTACCAATGCAAAAGTCAGTGCTAATGTGGCATTAATCATGCTCGCGAATGCTTGTGTGAGGTGGTTGCCCTTGCAAAGGGCACATGCCATCTGGGTGATGGAATGGGCGCGTATCGTTTGTGATCTCGAGCTCGTGTTTGGTTTACGAAATGAACGAGTATTCATTATGCCAGATTTCTGAGACCCTTCGTGCCGCGAGGTTTCTAATAACTTCCGTCAGTTGTGTAGGAAGTCGAGGACGCTCCTTCTGCATTCGTTCCTCCCACAACAGTCGAGTACGGTCATCTAACTTAGGTGTTATCGCGTGTATCGTGAGCGCCTCGAGGAATGGCTAATTTAGGGCTTGTAACGCATGATAAGGTTTAGTCGCTTAATCCACCAATTCTCCTATGGAATCTGCGTTGAATCGAGTGACTGCTGGAAGGTTGAAAAGCACTTGAATCCTATTGGAATACGACGCATCGTGCGCTGTACAGCCGTTCCAACAGATTCCACGCAACCGAATATTGCGCTCTGGTTGCTTCTAATGATCCTATTCCTTCGGCAGCCATCCCGGTCGGACAGGACCGCAAATATATGAGCTTCTGCGCATCGTGGAAGCGTGGGTTGTCATGCACCGCGGCATTGAACGCGTCGCAGGAACTCGTCCATGCCTCATTACACCCCCAGATGGTTGGCCACTGCATAGTCGACAGCTTGACTTGCGGCTCCTTGTATACCGCGAGCGGTGATGCTGAATTGACCGTCGTTTAACAATCCGTCAGCGGCGGCTCTGCGTTTTGCGAGTCGAATTTAGCGACAATGTTTTAGTGCGAGACAGATTATGAAGATAGGTATCGTCGTGTTCCGCACTTTCTGTGAAACGTGACTCCAATTCCTCGTTGGACGCGGTTAATTCAAGCTTCTCCAGAGACGATTCTAGTGCTCTGTAGTCCTTTTCCATGCTTGTGATTCTGAGGCGCATTTCTCCAATTTCTTCAGCGCCATAAACATCCCATGACGGGACGCATTCTGCGAAGTGCGTTAATTTGCTTTTGAATCTAGCGCGTTTGCGAGAAAGTGAGCGCGTGTTATCGGCGGTTGCGAGTGACAATGCTAACCTGACGCAAGTTTTCGGAGGATTGATAGGATGGCGATAATCTTACGTGATGATGACCAGGCGTAGCTGCTTCGTGATGCTGAACGTTCCCCGATGGGAAAGTGGAGAAGGCCTCGAGGGGTTGAGTTTGCCCCTTGCGATGCGTGTCAAGCTTTGTCGTTCCAGGTGTCCACTGGCTCTGGAATCGGCTCAGATAATGGTTCGATGGTTCATCGCGACCGTTGCTTCAGATTCCGCGTGGAGATCCGGATGTGGATTCAAGTATGTGAATCCAGCTCAAATGACAAGTGTTGCGGATTCAAATGTTCGGATCCGGCTCCGATGGCCCACAGTGTTGCAGATTCTCTTGAGTCGAATCCGGCTCGAAGGACCAAATGTTGCGTTCCGAGCACTGCAGCACGCTCGTGGAGTTTCACATTGTTGTAAGGCCCGTTATGCTGCTGTGGCAATGCTGCTTTGGATGCCGCCAACTCTAACTTGATAGAGGTTGATCTGGTGGGTGTTCAACTGCAGAGAGTCCTACTGTAGATGACAGTCTTCTGGCAGAGTGGTTGGTAGGTCTCGAGCGATGATGCTGGTGTCGTCGTGATGGACCTTTTAGAGAGAATTCCTCGTGAATGCCCTGTTAGTAGCTTTATTGGGATCGAATGTCTTCTGATTGGTTGGTACGCTATTGGGTGTGTAAGTCAACTTCAGTGTCCTTCGGTGATGGTGGTTGTTTGAACAATTTAGGATCTGACGCCTATCGTCTAAGAGGATAATTTATCAGACCTTGTCACGGTCTATTCCAGCGGTGAGGTAGTCTTCGCTGAGCATGTGCAAGTCAAGTGGTGCTTACAGTAGAGGTATAAAGCAGGCCTACACTTGACTTGGTACATTGCGGTCCTAGGGCCGCAACAAGACATATAATTTAGAAATAGTGAAAAGGATAGCCTAATATTAATTTTAAAATGGCAATTTAACGCTACATCAAAATATAACTAATTTATAAGCAAAATAAGTTGAATTTTACTTTTGATGCTGCTTGTAACATATTTTGTCGATGTTCTTTCGAATGTAATTGGTACAGAAATATGATTTCCAAACCAAATTCTTTAAAATTGACCAAAATATAAACCTGCACATAAGCAAAATAAATTAAATTCATTTATTTGATCAGGAATTGCATCACTTTTAATACCCAACATTGAAATTCCTCCAGAATGAACTGCATCAGTTGATGAAATTAATAAAGGTAAAGAGAGTTTTATTGGAACTGCTATATAACAATATCGGTATCAAGAAGACGAAGATTATGAATTATACAACAAATCAGTACACAGGAACCAAGCTCAAAGCTATTAAATTCAGGATATCCATGTGATCTACATCATCGATGTCCAATCGACTTAATTGAAAAATGATTTAGTAAATCATGAACACAATGCAAAGATTTTAAAGACGGAAAACGAATCAATATTGAAATAATTATAGGAATAATTGTTCAATTTATTTGGATTACTTGATCCTTTGATAAATATATATGAATACGTTTATTACGAAAGATATTCAGAATCAACGAAATAGATAAGAACATATGTGTTAGTATAATTAGTGCAATAAAATTACGTAAATAAATTAAATTATCTGAATTAAGTTAATTTGAGTGTGCAAAATTGGTATATTTTATGTTAAAATTTTTAATATCAGGGTCATATTCCATATTTTAGAATTTCTATCTCGTGGCGCATTCCTATCATATTAGAATCTCATTTATTCAATTATGAAATTGTAATTTCGTTAAACAAAACACAGAGAGGAGGATTATTTGCTAATATTTCCAACGATGATTGGAAGAATTTAAATGTTAACAATCGTCTAGGCTAATATATGATCCAATATATCCAATATGTGATCCATACTTCTCAAACTTAAGGCTGTAACCACAGTCAGTGGTACTTGAATCAGATATCAAATTTGCATTTACGATTGAGACTTGCAGCTGATTCTTCAGCCTCACACTTCTCTCTGTAACCGTTTGGTTTTATTTCACCTTCACCCATGCTTCGTGACCTTAATTTATTCCTCTGTTGGCAAGCCAGTCTGATATCTCGTTGTTTATCTCATATTTTTTCAAATATGCTTGCATCGCAAGTCATATGTCTTGTTGACCTGCAATGCAATACCCAAATTATGTCTCAAATGTTCTTGTACGATCTATGTTCTTGTAAACTTCTGGGCATCTCATACCTTTGGCCATGTGCAGCAATAACTGCTTCATCTGCAGTCATCATCATTAACTCTTGCTTATCACGTCCAGATGCATTTCCACTTCTATCGTTACCCATTCCTCTGTAGCATCTTCCACGCGGAGTAATAAGACTTTTGTCTCATTATAACCTTATGTTGCATGAGCAAATCCCTAAGCAGCCAAACATTTAATTTGCCACTACGCTCATCCTCTTTATGTCACTTTTCGCCACATTTACAACAATTAACGTTACCATTTATATTGTCTCTCACTTTCCTGAAATCTTTAATGTCTTTCGTTCCTTCGTCGCATCTTCTCTTCCCCTTTCTGCCCTCTTCTTGTTTGAAAGCGTATATTACGTCTCGCAATGTTGCTCTTCTCTGGCCTTCTAGTAGTCCTACATATTGTTACTACTCTGGCATAAGGTCTTGCATGGCATACATTCCAATTACTTACCCCCTTGCATGTTTAGCAAATTCGCCGAACAGGTGTGTGAATTCTGCTGCTCTATTGATATATTCATAGATCTTTTCTACCCTTTTCCTACATATACTTGTCAATTTATACAATGCACTCACTCCCATTCCTTCTCTATCCGCAGGCATGTTCTCTACAATCAAGTGTCACACTTTGTCTACATTTTTCTCCGGATGAGATTTCAGTAACTGAGACTTACTAGTTGTCTCGATTGTCACAGTCCCGGCTACATACTTGTCATAGCCTCATGCGTTCCATACATGTAATTTCTCTTCATATTGCGATCCTCCGTCCTCTGATCGTTCATAGGAATACACGTTTATCACCCTCCTCCATAATTTCTTGCCTGGCAGGATACCCGCAATTTGTTCCAGTGAAGGCAAGTAATTGCAGTACAATTTCTGCTCCATGCGTCTGTCATCGTAACCTCACATTTGCACGAGCCTACTAAAATTCTCAACAACCCTTTCCTACAATTACGCTTTGCTATAAATTTCGTTTGGATTTACAATTAACAGGCACATATAATGCGTCCATGTATATGCTTTTTACAATTAACGGATATCGATAGTTTGGTTTAAGTTTTTCCTTCGCCCTAGACCTCCTCGCGCCTCGCACGCACCATTTTGGCCGTCGCCGTTCATCCGCATCACTAGCAAACCTAATTCTCCTTTCACGTACAATCTGTTCCCATTCGCACCACCTGAAAGCCATCTCACGCAGATAATATAAACCAATCTTCACAAATGTAATTCCTAATATAGCTGATAAAATTAGATAAAGATTATAATTAATTTTTTACTATTTAATTAAAAATTATTTCTCATAGACAATGTAGATACTAAAAAAATGAGAATAACTGAATTGTACAATGCAATTCCAATTATAAGATATCTTTGTATTCTAGTTATAATAATTGTTCATAATGAAAGTTCCGTTCAGTGATAAAGTAGTTACAATTTGGATTGATGTTTATATACATATATGAAAATAGGATCAAGGGAATGGAACAGATAGAAACAAATCTGATAAAACATGTAAATGTAGTCTAAATTTCAAAACATTTATATTATTAGTACATGATACTTTTGCTCCATGGTAAATTCTTCTGCGATTTTATATTATTATTCTACTGTTCATAATATTACTAATACTTTTATATTTGTTGAGGTAAAGGTTAAGTTATAAATTTTACGTACATACATATATATAATATTATACTGAGTTACTCATCAAAGTGATGAACCCTAAAGAAATTAACAAAGGTCAAGGTCGAAATGATAC